GACCCGGGCCCCAGGGAGGCAGCAGCCTTCCGTATGGGTTGGGTCCGGTTGGCATACTGGCCCCTCTGTTCCCCTCAGAAGGGAATTGCCTGTGACAATTACCCTCCTTTTTTTCTCAACAGAGGCAGTCAGAATGCGTGGGGCAGACTGCCTCACCTTAGGCAACCCCCTGGATGGGGCCTCATCTAGAATTTAATCTTCATTTGCTCAATCCTCAATTTCCAGAGCCCCAGACCTGTTGTGTAAGGGCAGCTGGGTAGGTGAGGGAGGCCTGCAAGGAACTCACCAGCCACCCCAAGCAGGGACCTGTTTCCATTCCCCTCGGTCTCTTAGGTCCCCTCCTTCGGCCTGGTGGCAAGAGGGTCGGAGATCCTCTGCTTTTTGCAGAGTCTCCATCTGCTGCCTTTGTCTCAGGGATGATATGATGTGGTTCCACCAATCAATCTCCCTCTCACACTCCCTGATATGCCTTAACCTTTCCACTTCTTTCAGCTCTGCCACCATAAGGTTCTCAGCAGCCCATTTTGAACCTGTGTAAGTCTCTCTAAATAGCAGCCCTTTCTCTCCAGCCTATGCTCCTCCCAATTTGGGATCATGAACAAATTTGCTGAGAGCATGCTCTATCCTATCATCCAGGTCGTTAATAAAGATGTGGAACAATACTGACCTCATCATTGGTCACCTGTGAGATGCTACTAGTAACTGGCCTCTGGCTTGACTTTGCTGATTGTCACATTTTGAGCCAATTTTTCACCCATGTTATTGTTCACTTATCCAATCCATATCTCACCATTATAGCTATAAGGTTGCTGTGCAAGGCTGTGTAAAGCCTTTTACACCTTGTGTAAAAGGCCTTGCTAAAGTCAAGTTATACAACAGTCACTGATCTTCCCTCATCCACACAGCTAGTCATCTAGAGGGGAATCAGACTGGACAGGTACAATTTGCTTTGGTAAATCCATGCTAGCTATTTTCAAGCACCTTCTTGTCTTTCATATAGCTGGAAATAGTTTCCAGGTTGATTTGTGTCATAACCTTCCCAGGAACTGAGGTGAGGTTGATCAGCCTGTAGTTCCATGGATCCTGTTTATTGCACTTCTTGAAGATGGGTGTAATAGCTGCCTTTTTCTAATCATTAAGAACCTCGCCCCATCACCATGACCTTTTAAATATGTTAGAGGGTAGCCTTACAATTCCGTTGACCAGCACCCTGAGGTTCTGTAGCCCTGATGGCATGCCTTGAGGTACAACTCATGTACTATCAGTTTCACAGTATAAAGAACCATACTTCTCCAATGGCTGCAAGGCACCTCTCCCATTATTTTAGATACTTTGAATAACAACCTCTCCACATAAGTAGTACTTCTCTTCATGCAATTAGAGGGGCACCACATGGAAACCAGAATAAACCCTGGACTGAGTACTGTGCAGAGGAGTCACAACCAATTGGTTCCCCCAGGCTTCAAAGTGGTCCCTAGATCTGCTATAATTGGTGATATGGCTGTAGCCTCATTTGCATCAGAGAAGGCCAGAGTGAACTTTGGTTTTAGAAGAAGTCCTTGTCAAAAACACACAAACAATTTGAGCATGGACCTGAGAATCTTAAGAATTTGACTTTTGTGATATCTGGCTAGCAGCTCTTCCTCATTGGCAAGCATTAACATCTAATATTTTTTATTTGGTGGGCCATACAGCCTGCTGGAGAAGCTAATTAATGAAGTAAGATGTTCAGAGAATTGACAGTAAAGCAAAGAAAAACATTCAATAGGAGAAATGAAGCATTTGCCAAGTGACAGGAGACAATTTGGAGACACAGGAAGCCTCTCCAAGCAAGCCTTAAAGGAGGCTGAGCCACCAGCAGCTAAGATCTACTTTCAGAAAGAAAGATGAGAAAGGGCGAGTCATCAAAGCTGAAAGGATTCTAGAGTGGGAGTGTGTGACTAATCATTCAGAAGACCTGATGTAACAGCCTGTGGGAGCTTACAGATATAGTTTAAAGAAGCTAGGTTTGCAGGCACTGCTGATGAATCCTGTTTTTGATAGACATTCAGAAATATTGGAGATTGTGGCTCCTTTCCCCTCTTTTTTATGACACATAGGCACAAAATACCTTGTACATACATTTGCAAGGGGAGGTGGGACTGCAAAAACCTCTCTGTAAGAAAAACACTGTGCCAAACTTGATATCTGCCCTAAGTTTTTGTCCAAATGTAGCCTTTTCTCCCTAATACTATTTAACACCTCTTCTTCCTCAAGTTCTCATTCCTGTCTGCTAAGGGAAGATAAGCCCACCTGTGCTGGTCTTGCAGAACATTTTCTAAGTGCCTGAATGAGCCCTCTTTATTCCATACACCCAAGAGACAAGAAGAGTCAAGAAAGTCCTTATCCCAGACACATTTTACAATACTGTTACTGGAGCAAGTCTATGTCTATGCTGCAGACAAGCAACTCCTTGCAATAACATAATGGGTCCTTTTCCTTGGCACTTTTGATGCCTATTCACTGGAATGTCTAAGAGTCAAGCAAAGAATGGCTGGATTTGAGGGCCAAATTTGAACAGAAAACATTAATCAAATATCCTAATCTATTCAATGGATGCTTCTTAAAATGTGTATGTTCATATGCACACATAGAACAGAAACACATTCCATTATTCTTTTGCAGTTGAAGCCACATTCTCAATGATATAAAAGACCTTTTATATAGTCCTGGTAATATAAGCAGACCTCCTTCACTAAGGTAGGTTTCAGTTACCATCACAACACAGTAACAACATCCTTCATTCAAAGCTATTTTTCACAGTAAACTGGAGGTTTGACTATATTACCTTTTAGAAAAGATTGATGGGCTGCCTTCTGCTGAAGAAAATCAGCCTTCTGTGCAAAAACCAAATGCCTAAAACCTATTGTTTTCCACCTTAGATAATTTTGTTCAGCATGAACTCAGAAGTATTAGCACTTCAGGATTCCACTGCAGTGCCTCACAGATTGTTCATGTCTCCCTAGCTACACTTGGTTTCCTAGTACATACTGACGTCTGTCATGGTATGGGAAATACTATAGTATAACACATTTATAGAATGACCAGGGAAACATGGTTACTGAAAAACATAAGAATATGAGGTCCTAAATAACATCATCCATATGGTTATACTTATAGGATGAAATATAAATATTTTAACAAAGTTCTTGGAGCTTTGGATGTCATATAAAGGGTTGAGAGCTCCTGTGAAGGGAGAAAAAAAGAGATTTCTAATAGTATCTTACTTACATCAGACTCCATTTACACCCATTTGAGTTGTGTAACGGTACTAATCGCAACCAGCTCCAACTGTAATTTGTTGTTCTTGTCATTAAAGCAGTCATGAAGTTTTTACATTTCTTACAACACTGGCTCTGGTAAATGATGCTCTACAGGAATGGAGTTATTCCTTTAAATACCTGCTCACCAAGGTAAGTTAAAGTTTCAGATTTAGGTTGTCAGAGCCGTTTTACATAAGCAGTACGTGTGTCGTTATATCATGTAAAAAACCTGGTGATTTTGTTCTAGACTCTGAGACAAGCCAAAGCTTTTGTTGAGTTTTGGATTTGGGGGAAACTAGGATGCAGAGCTGCTACCCCTTACTCGAGCTGACAATTGCCTGTCTAATCTGAGAAACTTGACACAGGATTTAGATACAACTGGTGATGGGTATAAACTCCTGGGTCATAATTCCTAGCTGAGCTCTAAGCCTGGTAGCCATCGTGAAATCCCACCTCTGTTTTTGTAGAATTCCTACAAGTAGTTGTCCTCCCCCATCCTGCTGACCTCCCCCAAAGTTACTTTTTCTCACTGAAATTCAAATGTGGTGGCAAACTTTCCTGTACCATCTGATCAATAGTGCTGATATACTGATAGGAATAGAAATGAAATTAAAAGAAATACAGTTTACCTGTGGAAAATCCCATCTTCTTGTGGCACTTTGTAAATTCAATATTAAAATAGGTGACCAAAGCATGAATGTAATCATTACGCTGAATTTGGAGGCAGAACGCAGAAGTAAATGCCAATTCTTCAGTCTTCACTGTATAAATATCTACTTCCTGTTTTGAGAAGAAAAAGACATTTACACACAGATGTCTGTGACTCTAAGGTGTTAGATGATGTACTTAAGCTTTTTATTTAATGATCAGCAACAAAGACAACTGGCAGTCCTTTAACACAGTAAGAAATCAATGGTACATTTGAATATATCAAATAATCAGCAAATGATAAAGTTATCTGACTAAGCTGACAGAGGGTGATGAGAGACGCCACTCACAGAAGAGTGTGTGTCCTTGGGAATGGCAGGGGAGGGCTGCAGGAGACCTTCTGGCTCTCTACAACTACCTGAAAGGAGGTTGTAGAGAGGTGGGGGTCGGTGCCTTCTCCCAGGTAACAAGTGATAAAACAAGAGGCCATTGCCTCAAGTTGTGCCAGGGGAGGTTTAGATTGGATGAGGAAAAACTTCTTCACTGAAAGGGTTCTCAAGCATTGGAACAGGCTGCCCAGGGAGGTGGTGGGGGTCACCTTACCTGGTGGGATTTAACAGACAGGTAGATGAGGTGCTCAGAGATCTGGTTTAGTAGTGGACAGGTACGGTTGGATTTGATGATCTCAGAGGTCTTTTCCAACCAAACGATTCTATGATTCTATTGTTACCTGGGAGAAAAGACACAAACCCACCTCTCTCCACCCTCCTTTCAGGTAGTTGTAGAGAGCCAGAAGGTCTCCCCTCAGCCTCCTCTTCTCCAGGCTAAACAGCCTGAGTTCCCTCAGCTGATTCTCAAAAGGCTTATTCTCCAGCCCCTTCACCAGCTTTGTTATCCTTCCATAGCAGCCTGCAAAGTTTGCCTTGATAAGCTAGACTGGACTCGGTAAGAGCTCCAGAATTCTGTAATTTTTGGTGGCTTTTCAGTGGTATCACTGTGGGGAAATTGGGAATTAAGTCTGATGATGAGGCACATAAAAGGGATCTCCATCTCTCTGAGCTGTGTTGGCTCTGTAGGGTAAAGTGGAACTGAAAGCAGTAGGAAATACTTTTATTAGAGAAGTTAGTGGAAATGTCTCCAATATTGAACAGATGTGCTGCGCTTTTGCAGTCATTTTTTTAAGGACAGAAACATACTTCTTTTACTATGCATGGTATGAGACAAAGGTTTGGTTTTTTATTTGGTAATATAGTTTTGGAATTGGCATGATCCTGTTTTGGTGATCTCTTTGAATTGTACTCTGGCTACTTATATTCTTATATTAAATTTCACTGTCACTAAATGTTAATTACAGCTAAAACCACAGGGGACAAATGCTATCTTTGGATAATGTAAGTGGAAAAGTCAGGATTTACCAGATTTCATTAAGATTTCAAAAAGAACAACAAAATGGGCATAGTTAAGCAGGGATCTGATAAAAACACAGCTCCTAGGTATACTAAAAAAATTAAAATGTGTTAAGCTGAGCAACAATAAAAGTGTCAGAATTATCAGCTACATAAGAAGTTCCAGACTGTGGTTGACACTGCACGGAAGACCAGGAGACATCCCATGCTATGTGTCCCTATTGTGGAGGGACAGACAGAGGTCCAGTTTTTACATTCAATGCATCACAAATGGTTCTTGGGCTGTGCTGTGGCACAAATTGCTTTAGGACTGAGCAAATGATGTGTAGAAGATAATTTATAATCACAGGGATGATGACAGTGAGGTTGAGATGTGGCATTGCCAGCTGGTATGCATTTCTTGTTTGAATGTTATTATCCTAGCTGAAGGCAACCTAACAAACTAAAAGAGGGGAGATTTAGACTACATAGAAGGAAGAAATCTTTTATGATGAGGATGGTGAAAACCTGCAGAGGTTGCCCAGAGAGGTGGTAGATGCCCTGTCCATGGAAACATTCAAGGTCAGGCTGGACAGGGCTCTGAGCAACCTGATCTGTTTGAAGATGTCCCTGCTCACTGCAGGGGGGTTGGACTAGATGGCCTTGAAAGGTCACTTCCAACCCAAACCAGTCTGTGATTCTACGATAATGAGAGAAACAGCCCTGAGTTAGGTTTGCTGATGGGAAAACTGCTGACTTGCTGCCTGACTCATTTCCTCATGTGAATCATAATTAAGGTTGCTTCTAGAGTGGCACTGCACCTCTTTTCTGATCCCCTTCCCAACCAGTCAGCTTACTCATTTAGGATTGTGTGAGCATGGAATGGCTCCTGGCACTGGAATGGGCTACCTAGGGAAGCGGTTGCGTCCCCATCCCTGGAGGGATTTAAAAGATGGGTAGATGAGGTGCTCAGAGATCTGGTTTAGCAGTGGGCAGGTACGGTTGGACTTGATCTCAAAGGTCTTTTCCAACCAAATGATTCTATGATTCTGTAAGTATAAGATTCAAATCTCAGTGAATGCCTGGTTTTGGTGGCATTTTCTGTTTGTTGTTTGGTAGTTTTTGGATTTGGATTTGGGGTTTTCCTCCCATTCCCGTCTCTCAGTACATCAGCTGTCTTGGTTTGGACAAAGAGGGAAATGGTCACCCCAACATAGGAGATGGTGGAGGCAGTGCTAATCGTGGCAGGTAAAGGTGCTGAACAGATGTAGAAGCTGGAGGACAGGCAGCATTGGTACAAGCTGTATTGCCAGCTTCAGGATTAATCTGAAGGCTGAGAAGTAAAATTAATTGC